CCTGTACTTTATCCAGGTTTACTTCCACCACAGGGAGCTCACACACCACTCTACAGAATGGCACATGCAGGCCTTGCAACATCCCAGGAGCTGCTACTAGCAAGAGCCCAGCTGAAGATCCATACACAAGAGGTCTGCAGCACCACACAGCTACACCCCACTTCACTGTTATCCAGCCACAGCTTCAAGGAGACCCAGAGCCTCAGTGGTGTGTGTGGAAGCCAGAACAGGAACTATGGAGGCATTCAGCTGTAAGATCACCCTCTCTGTCACTGTAATTGAGTCAGGTCCAGCACCAGGAACCTGGCAGCTCAGGAAATCTGCTCTGTACTGTCCATTCCCTCTGCTCAGCTCAGGTCCCCACCCAGGGCTTCCAACTAGATCACCAAGCCACACTAAAAATAGCCAGCTCACAAAACCAGCTCTTGGCTCTAGCCACTCCACCCTCAAAATACAGAGACTAACTATACTGCCTTCTGCAAACAAAGGAGAATTCACTCCTCCATCTATTTATAAGCTGCTTATTCACAGCTTGTAAGCACAGATTCTTTTCAGATGAGGAGCTTGGGGGAAGAGATTAAGCTTATTCTGGTTCCCTGGTGCACAGAGCCAAACACTCAACATGATCATTCCTTCACCATCTGAGGTTCTTCTCCTTTCAGCTCCCACCTCTAGCCTTGGGAATATCTTGCCCATCACCATGCAGATCATGACACCATCCCACTCCCCTGCCATGGTGACAACACTGTGGTAGAGCCAGGCAGGTGCATTCTGGTTAAAAACCACCTATATATTCATAGAAAATGGTTATACCTTCTTTACTCTACTTGTGACTCATAACACACGTGCAGGATGAAAGGCATTCACTGGGCACTTGTCTAAGCACACGTTTCCAGCTCTTGGCTATGCAGGAAGAGGAGCAATAATGGGAACAACAGTGAGAAACACCTGGCTAAAGACCAGGTTAAAAGGATCCTGGCTTTGCTGCCCAGCCCCAGCCTCACTTCAGCAAGAGCTCCCACTGCTGCTGCCTGGCTTCTGGCAGCTTCTCTGACATTGCCATCAGAAACTGTAAGTTTCTGACATCCTCTACACAAGCAGCAATAAATTAATCCACTTTTCACAGCTGGCTCAGTGAGTTGCCTGCAGGTTAGCTGATCACTACACTAGATAGACAAAAGCCAAAGCTACACCTGCTAACCAACTCTATGTACCTTATTAAAACAATTCTGGTTATTAAAAAATTTCTCTTTGAAAGTGCAAAAAGAAGTAATTAACAGCACTGAAGTGATGGAGGTCTCTGTGACATGTGGCCACACTTACCAAAAGGAACCTCAGCTAGACTAAAAGCTCTGCATTTCAATCCCCAGAAAGACTGGGACAGCAAAACCTCAAAGAGTTCAGCTAACAGACCTGGAGAAGCACTGAGCCTTCAGTGCAGGGGATGGTGTGAAGACAAATGTGCTGGCTTTAAACCTACCAAAGTGAGCCAGTGGCAATGCCACCTCCAGCAGGGCCCAGGCACTCTGGGTGGCCAGCCCTACCATTACAGCGCCTAAAGAGGGGCCACAAAGATACACTGGCTCACCAGTGCCACACCCACACCCACTCCAGGACAAATTCAGCCTGGTCTTGCTGGAGGTGGGAGATCTCAGAGGGAGCAGCTGAGCACACCGCAGCCCCTAATCCAACTCCCTGCAATGAGCTGCCTGCAGGATGTGTATTCTGGGAATTGAGCTCCTCCTTCCTAAGCTGGGAAAAGGCAGTTCCAAGCAGTTCAGCCTGCTTGGAGAAGACTCTTTCCTTTTGTGGACAAGCAGCTGGATGGGCAAGGCTATTTTCTGCAGTGGTACTTGGTGGAGAAAGGAGTATGAAGGCTCTTGGTCAGCTCACAATGGGAGCAGTTACTGCTCAAAGTCACTGCTGTGGTGCTACAGCATCTCAGGGTGAGACCATCCAGGAAAGACTCCAAAGCTCTTAAATCATCTGCCAGAGAAACAAATGGATGGAGCACAACACATCCCTCCTGCATGCCCACATCTCTGATGGAATGAGTTCAACTTTTGCAGGAAAGAACCTGCGGCACAGGCTTAGCAAAGCCTCACAAATCCCAGGTCAGAGCTGAGCAGCAATGAGATCCCACTGCTCTGTGCCACAAAACACTCCAAAGGGCATCTGTGCTCTCCAGGAGGGCAGAGCAAGCAGAGAAGGCTCCACAACCAATCCCACAAGAAGAGTTTCATTACTAAAGAAAAACTAAAACAATTCTTGTTTACTGTGTGCTCTTGAAAGGTATTTGGCAGGTAACATCTGACTGCACTTACATGCCTGCTTCCTTGCCTGTTTTAACTTACTGTCTCCAACCTGTGGTCAGGCATTTTCAGAAGGGTTCATCCATCTCTATTCTTACCAGCTCCTGGTGTTCTTTTTCCACATGAAACCACAAAATAGCAAGACATCTGTGAAAGCTAGAAAAATATATTGCCTAAAAAAAACCCCAAGTCAATCCCTTGCTTGGTTAATCCCAGGGTGAAGGTGCAGATGGGCTTGTCATCTTTATTCTTAAAAAAATAATAATCACAAATTAACTTTAGCTCTCCACTTGTAGTCGGCATATTTTAATTAAGTGGAGCCAAAAGTCCAGAAAACTGCTCTTTAAACTGTCTTCTCTATTTATATGTAATTCATGCACATTCAGACAGTCACCTGTTCACAACTGGCTTCAATTTATGACTAAGTAGTCCTGGCGGTCATGACTATTTTATCAGACTTTTGTACCACAAGAGACAATAAAAAACAACAATGGGACATGTGATACACAAAAGAGCCAAAGGTGACTTAGAAGAGTAAAGCCATTTGACTTGCTTTTGTAAATAATTTATTTCAAGTATTGGGAGAATGGGTGTGGAATTAGGCTGCTAAGCATTGATCAAGATTTTACAATTCAAAGTTCAGAGCAGCAGTGCCACAAGCCCTGCTGAGTGCACACACAAAGGGAGTTCTGTTCCATTTTCACACATCACCAGTTGGAAATCAAATATTGGACCTACAAACATCAATAGCCACTCCATGCTAGCTTAGCTGGCCAGCTGCAATATTTTGTCTCTATCCTGCTTTGATCATATCTATTAAAGAAGCCTTTGAAAACCATAATCTTTGGAGTATTAGCAGAACTTAGAACCTTTAATATCTGCACATCAGATAGGAAAGAAGGAGTAAGTGCAAAGCCATGGAGGACCAAAAACCAGCAGTGCCTTAAACAGAGTTCTCTAGCCAAGTGATAGAGCCCCTTTCCCCACTTGAAGGGATCCTGAAACAAAGAAGAGTGGACTTCTTTAGTCCTCTGCCTCAAGTTAGATAAAAATTTAAATACTGCATGGATTTTAGTTTCTGCAACTACTCCATAGCCTAGAAAAGAATAACTTTCTCCTGCTATATTCAGTTATGCTCCTTAGGCTGGAGACAGTCACATATATTTGAGCCATTGCATACAGTCTCTCTTCACACAGGCGGACAATGAATATAACCTGAATTAAGCAGAGAATATGCTACACAGCTTCAGCATGCACTCAAACACCGTACAATCAAAGAACTCTGTGTGTATCCTCCACCCCTGCCCTTGCTAAAGTAATCAAAGCAGTAAATTATCCTTAGGGGCTCTGTCAGATCAGGTTTCAAAGTTGATAATTTCCTGCACAAAAACACGGGCTTAGCTTAAAACCAAAAACAAAACATTAAACTCATGCACATTTTCCCATTCTCCTAGGACTCTAAAGTTGCTGTGTTACTTAAAATAAAATAAATAATAATAAAAAAAAAACTAAACAAAGCACAAAACCCCACATTATTGTGCTTCTCATGTCATGTGAGAATGAAAAGATTATACTGTAGCAATTCAATCCAAAATTGCATCAAGATTACTTCACCAGTTCAGCAAGAGAACTGTGTCTGCATAGTCTGCCAGAGCTCCTGACAGGAGCCCCAGCAAGCAGGGAACAGAAACAGTTACACAGCCTGCCCTCATGCTCCTCTCTCTGCACCAAAATGTGGATCCTCTTCTTCCAGTGACAGGCAGCAACTTGCACTGTCATGCACTTGCTGGATTTTAAAAGAGAAATGTTTTTTTCACAGTGTTTGGTTGAGATACTCCATAACTACTTTGTTATCTTCTCTGGATTCCCTCCCTTCAAACCTCCCAGCTTGTGATGGCAACATGGAATTGAACCAGAGCAAAGCTGTGGGTGCATGGAGCTGCTCCACACCACCCTGCCACCCCCTGTGCCCTCACCTGCACCCACATGCCAGGGCTTATCTCACACTGGGCTGCAAGCTCCTGGCTGCAAAGGCTGCCTTTCTACCTTGCTGTTTGCACAGCACATAGCACAGAGGCCTTCCCATGCTGATAGGCTTCAGGTGCTTTAGCAGCACAAACACAAGTTGTGCAATGCCCTGGGGATGTCACACAGCTGGGCTCTCTCAGTCCCCGCTTCTCATACCGACCCCACAAATGGGCAGTGAGTATTTGTTTGTGCAGAGTGCACCAATGTGCCAGGAGATCAGAGCCTGCCTCAGCCAGCAAGCATTGCTCCCAGCTAAGGTCCCTGCAAATCCCCTTGCACAAGGAGTGCCTTAGGAAATCACACAGTGATAATGGCCTGCACCTAAACATCCATCACTGCTATCATCAATTAAGGCTTGTGTTCTACAGGTGCCCAAAATACCCACTTCTCTCTCCACTACAGAAGATAAGTCTGATTTGGCTTGAAAAAGGAAGTTGAACCATCTAAGTGAATTCACCTGGACTAGTGTTTGGACTGGGGAAGAAAAAATGAAGATAAGAGTAAAATCAATTACATTTTTCACCTTTACTGTTTTTAACATAACTCCTTGCTACACAAAGCTGTTCTCCAGCCTGCACAAACCATGGGGCACCTCAGGGAGACTTCCAACACCTGATTTTTGCTCATCCCCATCTCCTCTTCTCCCATCTGGGGGCTCACCTGTAGTCTTGGGTGAGGGTGACACAGGACGCCTCCTTCCCCAGTCTGGCGAGGAGCGCTCCGCCCTCCTGCTGCACCCTGACCAAACTTGCATCTTCCAGAACATTCTTCATCAACTGCCTTGAATTCCTCAGCAGCACAGCTGCATCCTGGAGGGATCACAAGAGTGAGGTGAGCAGATATTGCAACCTACAGGCAATGAGGGAACAGGCAAAAACCAGAACCTAAACCAAAACACACCAAAATCCTATCTCACTGGGCCCACTCCAGGAAAAGGGGATGTTGGATCCCACAGCTGCTTCTCTCCAGCCTGATAAGTCTAAAGTGATAAACAGTGCTCTTTATATTGATACCTTCTCCACCAGGCTAAAATTGTGACCCAATTCCCATCATTGTTCTTCCATTCATTTGCTGGGCATAGAAAAAATAGCTTTCCAGCCTTGCTTCCCACTCATCTTTAGCTGCTACTGTTCTGGGAGCCTGGATCTGCATGGCTCCAAGCCTTGGGACAAGGTGCACATGAAGGGTGTGTGGAGATACAGATGTGAGCAGGAAGGCCACTACCATATCCTCCATCATTTACTACTGGCACCCTCAGTGAGAGCTGGCAGCAATTCCCTACCATGTCAGGGACACAGCAATTTCTCAAGAAGAGAAATAGAAGGTTTGTGACCACATAGGCTTGGTCTTTGTCTCTTTGTCCCTTCCCCTTCTTGCCCACTTCCAAACTTTGCCCACATCCAAGTCTGTACCAGCTACAGAGCTCTGGAGCTGCTGAGAATGCACCCCAATGCTGGAGCAAGCACCCATCAGCAACAAGCCCAGCTGGAAACATCTCCTGGGTGACTCTGAGGAATCAGACAATCAGCTTCCAACCCCACTGAAGCCTCTATCCCTTCATTTGGACCAGTTTCTACAAGTATTGGGACACCCTGCTACTACAGATTGCAAATTCAAAGCTACAGCTTTTCTGCAGCTGTCCAGCCTCACGCTCCCTTCTGCCTCAGGTCCACCCCTGATCCAAAGTGAGTGACATGCTTACCTCAGCCTTTCTTGGTAATTTTGTGGATTCCACTTTATTAATAGCTCCCTGAAGGAAGGCACAAACACCCTGGCATTGCTGTAGCAAGTATTCCAGCTTCTACAAGAAGAAAAGACCAAGGCAGAGATTATTGTCCCATGGCTGACAGGAAAGGTCTTCTGAGCTTGCAGAAGCTTCAGAGTACAAAAATCAAGAGAGGATCAAACACATTAATCCAAGGGTTCAATTATATCATTCAGTGAGACTGTATCAGCAAAGAGAAGCCCATAAGAAGCTTCAGCTGCATCACACTAGACCAAGGCCTCTTTGCAGACCTTAGAAACTTGCATACTCATGGCTTGGATGGGTCATGCTTTACAGGAAAAAAAAGCAAAAAACAGTCCACTTATGTCTCACATTCTTCCATTAGCATTTCTTGTAACTTTCCATGATGATGAATCACACTGCATAAATTTCAGAGAAACAAAACATAAAACAAGTACTTGGAATTTTTCTACTTTAAATAATTTCTCCTCCTATTAAAAGTAGTGTAAATTTAAGATTAGGAAACTGGAAAGCTTCCAAAATTAAGCACCATAACCTATGGACAAATTTGAAATCCTTCCGCTCTCCAGGGTGGGGGGGAAGCAGGGAGAAAAACAAACAAAAAAAAGTCCAAACATTTCATAAGGGTTTGTGAGGCACTATTTTTTAGAAAAGTTAATGATATAAAGCCTGAATACTGCCAGATGCCACCCTCTAGCCACTAAAATCAAGAGAAGGGAGAAACAGTTATTCCAAAATAACTGTGTTTAAAACAAAACAAAAAAGCAGCTGTTTGAATCTTTACTGAATTGAACTCCCTCCTCCCCTGGAGTGCTGGAACACCGCCAGCAGTGACAGATTAGCAGGCAGGATGCAGGTGAGATCACCAAGACAGGAAATAAATGCTGTTTGCCACATAGCTGCAGAGCTAAAGGAGCTGAGCACACGGGTCATTATCACACACAGTATAAACAGGCATTCCATACAGAATGATTCCCATATTAACTCCCTTTGGTAATGTTTTACATGCCAAGACAAGAAATAGCCTGATATTATGCTGCTTCCTTCATGAATTACCCTTCTGCACACACAGAGCACCTCAGCTCTCAAGGTATTCTCAACTCTGTCCATTAAACTAATCCATAACTTCTTGCAAAGTTTCTCTGCTTTGCCATCGCCAAATAAACTTCAACTTCTCCAAGCCAATCCTGGGCACCAAGATTAGGCCTCTGGACCTCTACTGCATCAGCACAGATTCATACAAGTACTTTCAGATATAAGCTGGAAAAAATAAGTTAACATTAGGCACATGCCAAGCCTGCCACCAACACCACAGTGGTGCTATATGTGACATCTTAATCATGGCACTCTGGGTGGCAAGGTCAGAGCCAAAAGACCACTGGATCCTCTGGAAGCTGAGGTGACAATTCTGTCAACCACTAGGGTCAGCAAACTCAACATGAAGACAGCCAGCTTGTGTGCAGATTTACAGAGATTTAATCCTGTCTAGTCTTAGTGTGCCAAATAACTCAATAGAGCTTTTAAAGATTCAACAGGCACATGGTTGACAGCACTCAGGCTCCCCCCACAGCACAAGTGCACAAAGAGTGGGTATTGGTGCCATGGATGCCACCCCTGCAGGCTTCTGGCAGTCTGCACATCCCCTGCTGCTTGCAAGTAAAAGATATTCCTAGAAGAAGATTTCTGAACTGATTATCCAGAACTTCCAAGTCTCACTCATGCAAGGACTGCAGATATCACCAAGGAGATAACAGCTTGATCTGGGATCTTGCTCCAAAAGCAAAAAGATTTGTTATTACAGTCAAGTTCTTCTTCATTAGTCCAATGGCAACATGATACTAACACCTTCTGCTGAGATTAGTTTCAGATATCTGTCCTCCTAACTCAAGAGCCACTTGTGTACCACAAGACAGGATTCCATTTCAGATTTGACCATATTTTGAAGGCAAGAAAGAATAGAAAAATTAATGCAGTTCAAGCAAATGAGTAAAAAACTAAAACTTCAGCTCCTGCAGTCATGCCAAGAGACCACAGTGTGTACCCATCTTATGAAGACAGTATTAGCATTTTTTTTGATACCAGAGATTCACTTGCATTCACAGCTTTACAGGAAAATTGTTTTTTAATGCTCGTAGGTTCAGCTGCTGACAGGTTCCTGCTGTTCCCATCTGTCAGACCCCAGAGCACACAGGACACCGTACTCACCCTGCGGAAGCTCAGCCAGCTCTGGTGGCAGTATGGGAAGGTCCCTTCCAGCTCCAGAGGCAGCTGGGAGCTGTCTATGTGCTTGTGGAGGGATTTCATGGAGGTGAGAAGTTCAAACTGCACAGGAATAGAAAGGAAAAGGAAAAGAAAAAACTCACTTGTATTAGGGTGTGAGTACTGGAGGAAGAGGGGAAGGTTAACAAAAGGCAGAATTTATTATTTCTTTATCTGTCTTGCACAGAAGCACAGCATGCTGTGTGTAGCTGCAATATCACTACAATATGAAGGGGAAAAAAAAACCAACAAAAATTTAATCTTAGAGCAGCTTGTTAAACAGCTCAGTGGGCAAACCCTGAAGGAATGCAGGCCACAACACGCTGTTTCACCAGGCAGAACATCTGTGATGGAAGTCTGGCAGCAGCCAGCCTTCTCCAGAGCCAGCACCTCCTGGTGTAAGCAGAGCAACTCCCTCATATGTTCCCACAGTTGTGCTGTGATTTGCATCTGTTTAGAGAATCTGGGAGGTTAAATCCAGCCCCCAGCTTCCCCATCTCACTTCCTACAAAAATTCTAACAGAGCAGTCTCTGCCCTGCCCTCAGCTCTCCACTCATCACAGCAGCTATTTGCTCCAAGAGTTTCTTGGAGCTTGGCACAGGTAACTTGCCCTCTCCATGTCTGCAGGACCTCAGAGCATTTCTACACTCACCAGAGCAACAAGTGCTCCTGCAGGTACATGGAAGCCAGCCCAGACACAAACTCAGGTGCAGACATTGAACTCCCACACACACACACAGTGTGAAGTTTCTACCTCCTTACAAGATTGTGATGATGCTTCCAATTCCTCCTGCATGCCCATGTGTTTATTACCCTTTCCTCTGTTTCCTCCTACACTCTTTGTGTTTGTTCAATGTGTTTAATGTCTTCTGTAGCTTTCCTTGCATGCACATGCCTGCAGCCCCCTTTCTGACTCCAAATTCTTCCACATGGGGGCAAAAAGGAAATGGACTAAAAGCATTTGTTATTCTTTAGCCTTTGGGGACACCACACCACATGCACAGCAAACCTGACACCTGTCACAACAGCTTCATTCACAGGAGCCAAAAGGGAGCTCCTGACCTACTCTGACACCTACAGAGCTTCATCAGGCACAGAATTCTTGTAGCTTGCAACAGTCTTGGAGCACAGGAAAGACTAAGATGAAGTCTGCATGGCTGGGAGCCTACATTTCTTATACAGCTATAGAATGCAAAGAGGTGTTTACTTCTAGTGGAGGAGTTCAGTGATGTTGTGGTAACTTTCCCTCCTCTTGGTCTTTCCAGACATTTCAGCTACAAAGGGAACCTCACACAAATGTCCATCTCATCTTCCCCTTGCTGAAGTCTCTCAGGCACTGGCAGCAGCAGGTATGAGAGGAAACAGAGGAGATGCAAAATCCAGGAAAGCAAGAGGCACCTTCAGAGGTGGAGTTCAGGATTTGGCATAATGTGATCTCTTCCTGACCACGCATTTCCCCCTTGTTAATGGGAGAACATGAAAAGCATCTCTAGCTCATTGTGCAGGGCTCCTCCAAACAGTTATCCCTGTTCCCAACAAACCCCCTGTGTTCTGAGAGCAGACTGACGTCATTGTGGTGCAAATGTCACTGATGGGCGTGGCAATAAACAGCGGGACAGGGATCTGTTCAGCTACAGAAACACTACAAGCCAATAAATACCACACCCCTGGAGACCACAGCCACAAAACACAGAGGACACCTATGGAAATTTCATGTGAGAATGAACACACGTCAATGACAGGGAATTTGCTGGCTGGAGAGTTAAATAAAGAACACCAGGAGTGGCCAAGCAAAGCCCAGATAAATGGTTCCATTACCTGCCCTGCTGGTGGCTTCTCCATCCGAAAAGTCAGATCTTTTTCAACCAGAAGCAGGACTCCATGAATACAGTGAGGATCCATCTCCTACAACAGAACAGAGCAAAAATCCATTAGTGATCTGCCTTGGATACTAAGGAGAATGTACCACATCAGGTTCATACACAAGTTTGCAATTTATCCTTCAAAAGCATCTACAAAGCCTGGAAGGCAGTCACCAGAAATTAAGGAAGGTCTACAGAGTACCAAGGTGATGTCTTGAAGGTAGTTTGCTTCAGATCAACTAGTCCTGCAATATTTAAGGAAGCAATGGAAAAGGTCAGATGTTGGCTGTACTAAAGAAGCTCTGCTTTCTGCACAGGGAAGTGAATCAGGGGAAAAAAAAAACAAAACAGAACTTAAAAAAAAAAAACTAAACCAAAAACCTTGTTCCATGTCCAAGTTTTTTCCTGATAACTTTCCTGGTCACTTCACCTAACTGAAAGGAAGTGGCTTTCCCCCCTCCACCCCCAACCCAGTGCCAAAAACATCATCTTGTCTCTACTTACTGCCAATTTACAGTCAAGTACTTGCATCCTGTTTCTACTGTAAACTGACAGAAATTCCAAATACAAGGGATGTTTGGCAGCTGTAGTTCAAACTCAGTGCTCCAGGAGCAGCTCTCCCATTATAGAAGCATTCTACAGAGAAGTGAGAAGCAGGCAGAGAGAGCAACAGTAGAAGGGGGAAGCATGGCAGAAAGATCCAGACCATGGAGACAGGACTCCCTACATGTGTGATGCCTGGACCAGGAAAGCAAGGAGAAGAGCCATTAAAGCTGTTGTGCCACATGATTAAACAAAAGCCATCCCATTTTGATGCCTCCTATGCAAAGATCTCAGGAATTGTCAAGCAACAAATCCTTTCTGGTGTTGCTCGGGCTGGAAGGAACCTGGCACACAGCAGGTCACAACAGCAAAGGAAACTTGTTTAAATAAGCAGCTCCAGCAGTGAGCAGGGTTAAATATCTGCCAGGAGCAGCAGAGCCAGGGTACAGAGAGCAGTGGACCAACAGAGACTGAATGACCTAACCTGACACTGGGCCCAGTTCAGCAATTAAGAAACAAGGCAAACACAAGGAGCCCAAACCCTGCAAATGAAAGTAGCAGCAGAGATCCCAGAACAGAGGAAAAAGGCCTTTCTTCATCCAGTCCTAAAACATGATCCTTTTATACAGACAGCAAAAAAATCCCAACTGAAACACCTTCCAAAACCATGAGAAGTTTCTAAATTGTGAATTTTTCCAGTGAATTATTCACACTTTCACTGTTATTTGAGCACTGATTGAAAGGCCAAAAAGGATTGATTACATAATTAGGCTGCATTAGGTAAATACTGAAGAGAGGATGGGGAGATATTACAGCTGTATCACTAGCTCTGAATTTATCTGCTAGAAAGTACTGAAGGAAGAAAAATGGACACAACTTCAAGACTGCTGATGGTACTAAACAAATTTTTTCTTACACAATCCCTCTTCTATGCCAACAGTCACAAGATGTGCAATAGGAGTGAGGGATAAAGGTAGAGATGGTGTAACAAGAGGTTACCACAATAGCCACAACACTCATTTGTTTGTTACTCCTGAAAATAGAAACTGAAAAACCATTCACAAATAAAGCTGTCAAGGGAAAAGTTCAAGGTTTTCCAACTCAAGAAGAAATTGTATTTCCAAAGAAATCAAGTGCTTTTCACCACAGTTTTTAATTTAAACAGCTGAAGATAAGTCAGTCTCATCTAGCACTGACGGAGCAATCCAAAGACTGAAACAGTTTACCAGGAGCATCTCAGGAGACAAGCAGAGCTGGGAACAGCAGGATGCCACTTGAGGAAGCTTCCCTGCAGCTTTATGCACAATCTCTTACCATCTCTGCTAACAAAATCAACTTTATGGAAGCAAAGAAACAAGAGTTTCATACATATAAGTGAACTCTTCTCCTCCCAAAACAGGTATAGTTTCGACAGCATAGAATAGAGGGGCATCAACAGGAGTTCAGAAAGCACCAGGGTAACTCCAGAGCCTTTTATTATTATTCCTTTTAAAGAGAATTAGATATTTTTTCCAATGTTTCTCAGACTGAAGTTCCAGTTTTCTGGCTTCCTGCCCCAAATGGAAACCCATGGCCAGACTTAACAACGCTGGCACAGTCTGAAGCACAGGAATGTTTGCACAGAGGGGAGAGTCCCCAGACACCTCAGTCAGCCTCCAAGTGACCACTCCAATGGAGTGGCAGGGGTTCCCTGTCTTTAACATGAGACCAAGTTCCTCTGCACCTCTGCACTAAGTGAGAATGCAAATACACAGAAAGGTTTGCACATAACTTCTCTGCTTTCAAATGCTAAACTGACTCTTCCCAACCCAACGTGAAAACAGACAAATACAGGATTAAGCCTTCACACTGATATGGGAAATTCAAAAGAATCTCACTCTATTAAGACTCAGGCAGAGGGAAATCCCACATACTTGCTCACTGAAGGCAGGGCACACATTCCACTCTCCATGCCCTGTCTGCTCACTGAGCAAGGGATCAGTCTAGGACTTCTGAGCAAAGTTCCTCTTAAGAGCCGCCCTCCACAGCACAGAGCTTACTTGTGACAACCTGTAACCAAACATTACAGCATTTATCCTGCAAAACTCCTTGCTCCAAAGCATCATTACACAGTTTCCCACAGGAACAAGCCTGATCTATTCCTGCAACACGCACGCACTGTGCACTTCCCTTCACCTCCGCACAGAGCTGCCAGAGTTCCTCCTGCTTCTTCCTGAGATAACTCTGCAGCTCTTTTTATTCTGCCCCACTCCCTCTGCTCCAGCTGCTGTCTGGGACAGAAAGATTCCCCACCCACCCAATATTCTAAAAAGAAGGGGGAAAAGAAATTATTGCAGAATACAACTGGCCCTACCCTGAAGGCAGAGAGGACAAGCTCCCACCAGTTTACCAGGTGGTTCTGGACAGAGCAACTGACAGACTCCCAGTGCTGTAGGGAAAACTAACCTGCAAACACCCAAAGCTGCCTACTAGCACTTAAATCCAATCATGCATTCACTCTGGAAAGATGGAGAAATGGAAGAAAGATTTCCTCAGGCTGACATATCCTGACCCAGGAATCTTTGATTCCCAGGAGTCTCTCTAGGTTTAAAAGACCCCAGCAGGAAGGGACTCTGCAATAGGGCATCTCATCTGTGCTTCCCCACTGTGAACCCACTGCTGGGTTAAGAGGAAAACAGGCACTGAGAATTGAATAAGCAGTGCTGGACCTCAATATTAAACAGATTCCAGCACATTATCATAGCAGGCTTCACAGAAACTATGTAAGTAAAATCCTCTACAAGGGGAGTGGTGGACAGCAGAGAAATGAGCTCTAGAGACAGTCTGCCAGAGACAGGAGACACTGAGATGTGTAAGGGATTCAGAAAGGACCCCAAGGAGGTGATCTGCACTGTGACCTTAGAGGTGTAATATACAGTCTGTGCCTCAGTGCAGTCACTGGCCAAGCTAATCCTGCTGCACTCCAGAACACTTAGCTTGCCCCACTGTAGGTACACTCAGTTTTCTATTTTACTCTACCCTTGTTCCAGAGCAGAGGACAACATTGCCATGGGATTACAGAGTAAATGCTGAGGATCTTACTGGGGCCAGGGATTACTCCTGTGCCACAACTAGGTGATGAGCTACCTGAACAGGTCTCCTTCACAGAGTCTTCAGAAGAGTCAGTGTAAGGATCAAAAACCCACAAGCAGAGTAATCAGCCTTTGTAAACAGTCAGAGTAACCAGTCACTGTTACCTAGAGCACACACTTAGGTCCAGCAATCTGTCTTGCAGCACATTAAACTCTGTTAAGTAACTGTAGCACCACCCTGATAAGCAGGTGCTCAGAGCCCAACAGCCATCACAGCACAGCAAAAAGCTTCCCCCCTCCCTCGTTTCAGAGAGGAAACTTGAGGTTAAAATAGCATCATTACCATGCTTGTATGAGAAATGAGACAGCCAGAACATGTTACTGACTTCCAAATCAGGCAACTAAGACTGCCATGCAACTTACATGGACAGTGAAATGCTCAAAAGCTTTAGCAAGCCCACTGCCATGTGGGCACAGCATAAAAGAGAACGTGTTTGCTTGTTACCTCTGCAGAACTGAGCAGGGCACAGATTACTCCTTCACCACAGAGAATGAGCACGCTGATAGAGCTCACAGCTCCACCCAGCCCAGGAAGCAGGAGGACAGACCTCTGAGTCAGACTCAACTCTCAGATGTGGCACTGAAGCACATAAACCACAGACATCAGCTTCATTAAAACATTGCCCTGTTCCAGTTTGCAGAGATTGAGTCCTAAGAGAGCTAAGCTCTGATTTAAAAGGAACACCTGCTTAAACAAGATTAGTCATAGCTACAACCCATCATCTCCCTGTCTTTCTAAGAGCAGCAGATAGTTTCTATCTGGGAAGAGGGGCAACACAACCCACTGGCTTCCCAAGTGCCTGATATGAAAGCCTTTGACCTGAAGCAATATAGAGTTACAGCACATCCGATTCTAATCATTCACTGACAGCCACATCAACAGCTGCACGTGCTTTTCCACCTGGCACAGCAAGCAGTGTCCTTCCCTTCCCATGACAGCAGCAGAGGCCTCTCTCCCTCCCTTCTCTGTGGCAAGCAACAATCCCTGCAAATTCCACAATTCCACACAGCCCCTCAGTGCAGGGGACAACACCTCCAAGCAAGACAATTCATGACAGCATTGAGACTTGGGTATGGGCTGTCCTCAGCACGGAGATGAAAGCAAATTTGGAGGGGTGGGGAGGGGTGTTCTCCCCTAACTCAGACTGGCTTAAGGTTTTCTGCTTCATCTGCAGTCTGGCAAGTCCAGGTCATCCTCCTAAAGCAGGGCTGGGTGCCTCTCTCCACCTCCCAAAGCCAACTGAAAGCCAGGTGGCAGATGGAGACATAAGCAGCAGATGGAGATGTAACATCCAAGGATGGCAGCAAGGCAGCCAGGGCTCCTCTGCCCGCGCTCGAGGCTCACCTGCAACGCGCTGAACGCCTTGAAGAGAGCAGGGACGGGAGAACAGCGACGAGCATCCACAAGAACAGTCAGACCCAAAGCCTGACACTCTGGTCTGCAAGGACAAAGATAAAAAGGTCACCTTTGTCACCAATGAAAATTAACCAGACTATAGAAACAGAACCTGTAGTCATGGCAGGGTGAAAAACACTTATGGCTTTATAATAACAGGAACTAATTGGCCACCTTCTCCTAAACAAAATATATAAACAGAAACCACCAAATAATTGTTGTTTTTACCTTTGCCATATGATTCTATGACTTCCACCCAACTTCCCATTTCTCCTATTCCTAGAATATGTGTCACTGATGGCAAAGGAGCTGATGCACACCGGATAATCCACACAGGAAAACCAATTCTTAGTAATTGTGTTCAGAGACAAGCTTGGTTTCAGCCTCACTGTTTCAGGGGAGCAGCCAATGCCTATCTCATCTAGAATCAGATTTGAATGGAGAAGCATAAGAAACAAAGCATGAGTTTCTCATGGATTAAGCCTGCTCCCCTTATTAATGGTTTAAAGGCCTCAAAAAAATCATTATGAGAGTTGCTTTACCTCTTCTTATTTAATCATACACAAGTGAAAAATAGTGATGAGCTGGGGAAGAAAAGTCTGTCATAGTGAAAGGAAGAGAAGCTCCAGCAAATTCTAGCCTGCAGACAGAGCCTTTTTTCAGCCACACATCAGGCAGCCTCTCAACCCTTACAGATCCTCCCTCCCTCTCAGCCTGGAGGCCTAGCCCTAAAATATCATGTCACAACACTATCACAGAGCTGCTGCATGACTGCCCCATGATAGCTCCTAAATCCCATTTTCTGAACTAATGAAGGATAGCAAGAATGGCTTGGATTCATGGCAACACATGAAAACATTCAGTACATACCCAATTATATCACACCATGTGCACACAGCATATACAGAACAGGCAAAGTGCTTGCTGAACACAAGCAGGAGATTCCCAGCTGTGTAATTTCAGAACTCTCTGGACCAAGTTCCTAGGCCAATAAAATCAACCTCCTTCCATTCCTGCCTCAATTCCCGCCTCCAGGAAAGGCAAAGCAGACAGGGCAGCAGCTGCCAGCCCAAGAGCATCACAAACCTTGGGATGCTGTGCAAGTACAGAAGCAGGCGCACCAGCTCAGTGGTGTTGCAGTGGGGGTTTAACCAGGCCGTGCTCCTTGCTGTTATTATGGCCACTGCACGCCCCGATTTGTCTCTCGTACCTGTAAAAAGAGGGGGGTGGAAATAAAGTCATTCAACAGAGCCTGCTTCCAGCTCTGCATGCATCATATTCTCCCACTAAGACCCCACCACCTTCCTGGAAATCCTGCACAGAACTCAATATAGTGTATGTTGCAGATGGTAGGAGGCTACAAACACACTTCCAAAGTACCCAAATGCTGCCCCAGAGTGAAGCAGATGAGCTCAGCTTCTCTCTCTCATGGCAGTGTTAAATTTGTACTGCTGTCTTCCACCCAAACAGATGCTCCTCATAAATATGGCTGAAGTTGCCTAACAATAACCTAGAGAAAAGCAGATATCTCATAAATTCAAGGTACAGAATCTCACCTTCACATTGCTGTCAGATGAGAGAAGGCAGACAGGCCTGCAGAACATGCACCATGTTAGGAGAGTGGGCACATGCTGCAGGCTGAGCCCAGACTGTACCCAGGCAGCTGCAGCAAGCAGAGCCCTGGAGCAGGAGCCCAGAGCTGCTCCTCAGAGGCTGCAGAGAGGACAGTCCAGGAGCACACCCCTTCCTGCCACAGCTCTGACAAAGGACACAGGCAGTGCCAGGCCTTCATTAGGTGCAGAGCTTGCTCAGTGCCCAGGGAACAGATACAGCACAGTATGGGCAACCCAGCTGAGTTGTGATACACTCAAGAAGGAGAAATCCTCTGCTTCAGTTAGCCAGGAAGGACAATGCCTCCCTGCCACCCATCTCCCAAAAGCCCAAAGTCACAGCTTATCACAGGAGGACAAGGACCTAACAGTGCCAGCTTTGGGATTGAGTCCAGCCTCCTCTCCAGATGCAAAAGCAGGGTAAAGAGCAGGTGGACACAGCACTGTCAAAAGCCAGAGCTGCTTCTGAGACTCCACATCAGGCAGTACCTGCAGTGAGCCTGCTCAAGCAACTGGGAAAGTAAATTATTTGGGGAACAGGAGGGAAAACACCTCTTTTGTGTGAAAAGTAGTTCACAAGAACAGGAGCCATTTCCTGTCATACAAACAGTATAAGAATGATGGGGAGTGGGCAGAAATCCCAAGCACAAGACAAAAGCAGAGACTTAGAGAAATCTGCTTCTTTCTCTCCTTAACTCTGTTCCTGCCACAGGAGATCCTGTCCTGGACCACCTCTCTCCCCCACCCCAGGGACAAGCATGAGAGCTGTCAGGTAAAACAGCCACAGATGGACAGGCACAAGCATGGAAAGCTGCCCCAGTGTCATCTCCATCTGTCACTTGGACATGACTTGAGTAAGGGCCACAGACACAGATGGGCACCATTTTGAAGCAGGGCTTTCTGCCTCCCAGGGATCAAAACTGTGACAGAGGCTTTCTCCTGCTAACAAACATCTTTCATCATCAGTGTGATTCAGGAGGACTTTCATTACTCCTGAAACACTGTAACCTGGATGCTGCATAATCAAAGAGATGGAAAGAAATTAGAAAAAGCTCATTAATATAATTTGTTTCATAAGCTAAGGGGACCATCATAAAATAAAATAAAAAAAAACCTTAATTACTAAAAAAAATGGCTCAATAAAAGCTTTTTAATTTTGAAGCAACATCTACTGTCCATCAAGCAGGTTGGGCATCACCAGAATTTGATTAGACCTTGAACTTCCACCTAGTAATCTGGGAATTGCCTGACCAGGTCAAAAAAGCCATTAGAGCCACCAGGGCTAGGTCTCAACAGTGGCATAATCCAAAACTGAAACTATCCTGGAAGTTTCAGCTAACTAAATCAGCTACTAATTTACTACTTAGCTCTTATTTACCATTCATTATAAAAGTTATTCCTTCTAATGTAATTACTGTATCATTATCACTGACTAACATAAAGCATTTAATGAGTGGTCAGTACATTCCCTCAGGTGTGAGGACTCCCCACTGAAACCCCAAAGAGGCAGAGAGGTCATTCAAATCTGATAGTGCTTTTACAGGAAACATAATTCCTTCCTTAGAGAAAAACTTGCTTGGAAGCAGTATCAAACCCAATCCTTGCTTCTTGTGGGCATTTGATATCCCTCCATCATATATTCAAATGTTTTTGTCTCATTTAACATTGGTACATTTTGATTGGAATCTGTGACAAAGGGAGCATTAGGTAACATGGTCAGGCTCCTGCAACAGCATGGACTGAGAGCTTCTCTGAAAGACCCTCTCTATTCCTGTAACTTCTTGGGCTGTTATATACAGCATAAAAATGTCCAAACTGACCAGCAGATTAAAAATACTCCTTTGGAATTTGTTGCAACAATTCATCTACTAAAGCAAAGTCAGACGTATGAATCTACCATTATTCTGCCCTGCCCTTGGTTTTCCATTTCATCTTCTTCCAGAAACTGGAAAAGTTTTAACTCCCTTCTTCCTTCCTGGCACAAAGGTGATTTCACCTCTTTCTCAATCATCCTGTGAGATAAACAACCTTCCAGTCTCTTGTTGCAAGACACCCAGTTTAGTTACAAGGAAAGGCTGTAACCTTTCTCTGCACCACCTCTAATATTTACCATTTCCTTTTACAATACAGCCCAAACTATTTCAGAGGCATCACCAACAAGTATACAGAGGTAAAAATCTGTATTTTCATCAGTCTAGCTGTCTCCTCCCCTCTACACAAGTGATGTCAAAATGGGTCTGGCAGAGCCAGCACCACCTGGGAGATGCCTGTGCTGCCTTTCTGCTCTCCCTCCCTGCTCCTCCACACTGCACAGTCTGCCTGACCTCTTCTCTGAGCTTGGGCTCTCTGCCCAATTTTCAACTCATACATGGCCCCAGAGCTGATCAAATGCAGCTCCTCCTGCCCCACACTGAACAACCCTCTGCTGGCTCTCAGAGGACAAGCCCACAGGGGCTCCTTACACAGAGCTGCCAAATGCTGCTTCTCACTAGAGAGGTAGCTCTTACTTCCTCTGCTTCACTTCATGTTTGGTTAAACACAAAGACGTCTTGTGTGGGCCCTGTACACCAAGCAGCCCTGGCTGCTCTGTCCAACAGCCTCAGCTTTGTTCACCCCCTGCCAATATTCATCCCATGCAGAAATTTTATCTGCAGCTATTTGATACTCATTGCTCTATCAGATGCAAACACTGAATAACATTTGACCTAAAACCTGATTCTGGCAGAATAATTCTGGGAAGTTGTCCCTTGATAGCTGGCAGGTTTTGTAATCTGCTATTTAGCTACACTATCATTCACCCTTCATGTTGCTCATCCACTTTACTGGGACATTTCTCTCAACACCATGTCTCATGAAATCAAATGTTTTCCAAAAATCTATTATATCTACATGGCTACATTTAGTCAACCAAACTTCTAATTACCAAGAATAAAACTGGTTTTCAAGAGTCCTGTCAAAGAGCATCTTCTACATTCCTATCCTTTAATTACCTAGCAAGTGAATCAAGTTCCTATTCTTCTGACCAGGTCTGATGTCAGGCCCACCAGCCCATCATTAGCTGCATCCTCACTCTGCTCTTTTTGAACTCCTGGTATGAGCCCACAGATTTGGCATTTCTGACTCATACACACTTGGTTAACATTTTGAGATTCCTGAGAGCAAATTAACATTAATGGGAGGGAAGTTCTGCTTCCTGTCCTGCCCATTCGGAAACTTCAGAGGATTCAAGAAGTGGAATTTCTGAAGAGGTTTGGAAGAAACAGAATTGGCACCAGCCTCCAGTGCTGCAGAAGGAGGCTCACCTCCCTTGCCCTCCTGCAAACCACATTTCTAAGACACATTCTGGCTCAGCTACTCACCAGGCAGGTAGGCAACTCCACTCCTGAGCACTTCTGGGTTCACATCCCTGGCCATGGTACGTGCAAAGTGACCACCCCAGGCACTTCCAGAACTTGGGGATGTCGGGGGAGTAACAGGAGGTGAACTTTCCTCCAGGGCACTGCTTTTACTCACTGCTTTCAACACACCTGTGCCAGTTGCCTCTTTTCTCATCTCTGTCTCTTCTGGCACCATCCCTGTAAGACAAGCAACAAACAGAAGCTCGAGCAGAGTTCCACCCAAAAGATCCCAGGTGAGTACCAGACTGGGGAGGGATGTGCTCCCAGCTCCAGCAGTCTGCAGCTCCTCCAGCCCTTTAGCCAGCAGCATGCATGTTCTAAAACTGGTTATAACATTAATACTACTGTAATTCTAAAAAAAGAAACCAATTTATTGTGAAGTTTGCAAAATATAAAAGCTCAATTCAGATGGAGATTACTGTAGTCAAAGTCCTTTTCAAAGGTAACATATCAAGCAGTACATGTCTGCTCACAGCCTGCAAGTCTGGCACACTGCAAGTCCCTGGCTGAGCTCCAGCAGCCTGAGCATGCTGAAGTGATAAACCAGCTCCTGACAGGGAGGGCTACTCCATCAGGACAGAATTACTCCCCCAACACCACTTTCAGATTAGTTCCTGAAAATATGAAGTCAACTGGAGGCTGACAGATCAGCTGGAAATTGGCCAAAGAGACCTTGTTCTCCTTGTCCAGCCTTTTTAAATTAACATTTAACTTGAAAGTCAGAAACACATTTAAAAACACTGAAGAACAGGATGATTACACCAATCAGCTCTTGCTCAAGAACTGCAGAAAATGCTTCCTTTGTCTGACACCTCAGCTTGAAAGTACAAGTAATCAGAATCAGTTAATTCTAAAATTAAATATCTTGGCTACTACATGGAAACTAAAGCTAATTCTATCAAGTTTCAATTTTCATGTAAAATTATCTGGAAAGAAGGAAAAAAGTGTCTATCCACTGTGCAAGAAGTATTATTCCCCATTTCCCAACATCACAAGAATTGGATGCCAACAGAACATCTTCCATAATAGATCTTTAGTATCCTAAGTGCACAACTAGGCTATCCCTGAGTTTGCAGAAAGCTATACCAAATAAAAGACTATACTTCACAACAAAACCTGATACTTCAGTATCTACCACCAAAAATATCAACCTTTCTTCAGGAAAATAAGAGTGGAATATTTATTTACTGGCTCTGAAGTCAGACATTTTAATTGCTATTTAAAATTTACTTCAACCACCCTACCTTCCTGCTGCATCAACAATGCTGACACTTGACTCAGTTTATTTACTAACAGATTCCAATACTTCATTAAAGAGCAGGACCAGGAACAAAGCAGCCCTTGAAGTGGCTTTCAATACAAGTTTTAGCAGTGAAGGAGATTTACAGGTTGAAGCTTAGCCTGAACTGCTTTCAAAATTGCTAAAATGGGTGAGAGAAGTGCCCTGAGCAGCATTGCTCACTGCAACAAATCATGCAGCAGTGGGGGGAACTAGGAGGAGCTCCCAGGCACTGCACCATCAAGGGCACGATAGAACAGCTGCTCATTCCTCTCTGGCAACACCCCTGGTTGAGGAGCACCCCTGGGATCCAGCCTGGCATCACTTGGCCACAGAAGCTGCTGTGAGGGCTTTGGGGCTCTGCCCAGGTCTGGGCTGTGCCAGAGCCCCACTCTGTTCCTAGGGGGACCTCAGCCTCCATCTCCCAGCAGTGCAATCCACTCCAAACACTGCTACATCCTCCTGAGCAGCACTTCAGAGGGGCACTGATCTCCTGCAGAAAGGGTTTCTTGAACATCACAGAGGCATGGAAGTTGTGCCCAAAGGTTTCACACTAAGAGTTGGTAGACTTTCTAGGAGAACATGGAATCACCTTATCAATGAGCTGTAAGGACTGGCAGTAAGGAGAACTACACAGTTTTTAGTAAAGGGGTCCTCATAAAATGACAAAAGCCTGCAAAGAGGATCAAAATGTGAGATTTTAAAGAGGACAAGAAACAGAACATAGCTGTGTTCCACATAGGTTACACCCCAGGGCAAGAGAAATACATAAATGTGTGTGACAGTCCTGCCTTGGATATCTCTTAGGAATGAGGCAGCAGCTCCCAAAAGGTAGGAGAGAAACGTTTTGCTCAGCCCACCACACACAGTCACGGTACCGGGGCTTTTCAGCCCTGGGGAAACTTCACTAAAGCTGTGCAGCCTCCAGACTATGCACGTCTTGCCCAAACAAAACTCTTCCCGAGCTCCTGAAGGCCAGCTCAGCTGTGCAGATGCCAGCTCTCCCAACAGGCCCAAGCCCACTGTTTGTTATTTGCAATCGGGGCGGAGGCACTCGCTGCAGCGGAAATTGTCCAATGCGGAGGATTACATCTAAAAGCAAATTGAGAACAGGGACATGTGAACTCGCCGTGTTTGCAGGTTCCACCTTCCCCCGAGGTCAAGGAAGTGGGAGAGGAGGATTTGCTTGTGTGCATTTCAAAGAGGCATTAGCATTTTCCCTGCAAACTGCCCCAGCACCAGGATCACCCATGCTAACACCAGGCAGTAACCGGACCAGGAACGGAACGCCCTGACAGGTGCTGCTGAATATGCCCCAGTGGGGCTTTTCAAACTATTTCTTGAATATCAAGATATTTTCCACCCACAAAACAGAGGAATTCTTTCCAGTGCTGCAAAGTTTCATTTAGATGTTAGTCATTAGGAAAAAACAGCAGTCACATTATCTGTGAATGGAAGCAGTGTAAATTTTAAGCCACCAACTCAAAACAGTTCACATTTGACTTCAGAGTTTTTTCTATTTATATCTAAGTCTTCCTAAGTTAGGCTCTATTTGTGCACAAAATAAGCTCACTGAGAGTGGAAGTAAAGGGAGAGAGTTAAGGGACAAGGAAAAACCTGCAGACACAGCAAACTCAGATGCCCCAGTTCTGAACACGTATTTTGACATAATCAACAATATCTGCTGTAACAAGCAAGCTCCTCCACCTCACACAAAGCAAATTGTGCCTCTGCCCACTGCTGCTGAGGTGTGAATTTCAGATCTGAATTGACCCAGTAAAGCTTTAGCTCTGTTGTTATTTATAGTTTAGACAAGATACCCCCAGTTTCCAATCATAGCAGCAAAATGACCTCAACAAGACACAGAGAATTTAACCCACAGAACCACCTTGCTGGCAAAGTGAAGTCCATTTGTAGGACATTTGCTTTGCTTTGTAATTTTATCTCTGAATTATCTTGTAAGTACATCTCTGAGGGTTTAATGGGGCTAGATAAGGAGATGGCTTGTTTGGATCTCAAAGCAATCAAATGTAATTGAATGGATTAAGCTTTTTATAGTGCCAGCTACAGTGTTCAAGAACTACTGCCAGCATTAACAGATACTTGAGCTGCCCTTTACCATAAAAAGTTTATTTGGATAGTTTGGATGGTTTTCCTGGCAATTTAAGTTGTTTCTTTTGCTTTACAAACACTGAGATAAAAAGGTTTGAATTTTTCTTAAACTGCAATGCCCAAGTTTAACATCGGCAGATTTGAACCAAAAGGGTCACATACTTCAGCCAAATCCCCAAAATCATTTGTATTGTCTTTCATTAAAAACAAACTCTGTGTGTACCCCAGAGGGGTCCATCACTGCTAAAACCTCCAGCAGTGGCCAAGATTTATTCTTTGGACCAGTGAGAACATCACACATCTCACAACAAGCTGGATCTGGTTAGTTTTAAAAGAGAAGAGATGGGAACACTCCACAAGCAGCCACAGCACTCATGAGCAAAGTGTCCACCCAGCACTAAACACAGACTAGGTGCTCCAAGGCCTGGTCCTGAGCAAGCATGAAGTCAGGCCACGTTCAGGTTGGCCGGGGGAATGAATACCCAAAGCATGGCTATTTCCTCACATACATCCACCAACACCCACAGATAGGCAGAAGGTGATTTTTTTTCTGCTCATGGTGAGAGATGCTCAGAGAGAAGTGTCCTGCAGAAATAGAAACTTTTGAGCTGACCCCTCCATTTTGCAGAAGAGAAATGCTTGTCACTTCAGAAGTATCAGAAATGCCTGGTAACCTTGGGCTTGGTTATAGATGTCTAACTATAGATTTGTTTGATGCAAATGTTAATGAAGTTTTATTTTAATCAGTGGACACTAATTTAGCTCCATTAGAAGGTCACTAAGACATCAGGTAAAATGTGACTTTTGGGCACCTGAGAAGCAGCTGTATGGGCAGTCAAATGGAATCATGCAGCAGCTTTTGGCCACATAACTGGGGACCAGGGCAAGCATTACAGTGGCAGCACACCCCAAGACAACCAGCTCTGGATCTGTTGCCCCAGAGGACCAAACATGCTCCAGCAACCTGGGTATGAACGCCAACCCTTTCAAGAGTCCTCAGTCCAACATTTCAAGCTGGGTAATTTTCCTAGCCAGGGGTCTCAGGGAATGAGAGCTGCTGAACTGGAATGGCATGTTCCACCCACCCCCGCTCCTCTGTGTGATCTGCAGATCCAGCTGCAGCTCTCCAGACTCAGCAGAGCTGGGCAAAGCCCACACGGGGCCCGTGTGGTTACACACTGCCTGCCTACAGTCTGGTGCAAAAGGCACACACCCGGATTGCCCTCTCAAGCTCCTGCAGAAGCACAGCCCCAGCTCAGGAACCCAAGCATCAAGAAATCTGGGTAATACCTGCTTGAACATTCCATGTGAGCTGAAGTCAGATGCTTAATTCCTGTGCTCTCCCACTCAAGTTAAACAGCTCCTACTTGAAACACAATCGAGCTGAAGAAAGCATGCCGGAGGGGAAGGCAGGGAGAGGGGGAATCCCTCAGCTCTGCAGCTTGCTGCCTGAATCACTTATCAGCACTTACACTTGTTCATCTTCAGGTCACGTTACACAACTAGTATTTTTTACTGTGGCATCCACTGTTGCTGCCTCTTGCCACAGCCATCTTCCTAAAGCCACTTTTCAACTATGAAAGACTTGTACAGTTAGACAAGTCTCTCCTCATACATTCTCCACATCATGAATGTAAGCAGGAGGAGGTCACCAGCAATCAGATTTCCTGAAATTAAAAGTTTCTTCCAATAGAACTTTGTTCTGTACCAACATAAATTTGCAAAGAATTATTAAACAAAATGCCACAATAAAGCCACCTGTGAAGAGAAAGCTAATTTCATGCCACAAAAAATGACAATCTCTTCCCAGTATTTTGTGCTATTACCCCAAAGCCTCCCAGATGTATTTATGAAATCCTGCCTGATAAGCAGTATTCAAGCAGTACTGCTTGAGGATTTTGCTTTCAATCCATGTTACCAAACACAACCACACAAACACCCAGTGGCTGTACCTTTAGGAGGTGATGCCCCCGACGATGCCTCTGGCTGGGAGTGCAGAGTGGCAGGCTCTGTACGCCCCTCAGCAGGTTCTGAGGACAGTGGTTCACCCTCCAATTCCTCCTCAATGGATTCCAGTGTTTTTGAGGCTGTAGTCTTCAACCTTTCCCTGTAAGAACAACTTCCCTGGTTCTCCACCTGTCCCTGCAAGTCCTGTGTTGCAACATGCTCCTGGTTCAGCAGAGAGTTCTCTTCACTTTCACTGCCATGGTTTTCCACCGGTCTTTGTGGTTCCTCAAACGTCCCTCCAGACCTCTGGGTTTCGAACAGACTTGAATCTTCCTCTTGTGCACTGGGAGCCAACAAGTCACTGTTATTTAATTGTTCTGCCATCTGATTCTCCTCTGCTGACTGGGCAGTTTTGAGTGGTATGGCTTCTTCAGCCTTTTTATGCTCTTGTTCTTCACCATCTGACAAGGTTCCATCTGCTGAGGCTTTCACAGAACAGTGACTGTGACTAGTCTGATTTTCATTTACAGTCAACATTTCTTTAGACTCTTTCACTTCCTCTTGGCTCTCCCTTCTTCCCACCTCAAATCCATCAACATCTCCTTGGCTCTCTTCTGGAGGATTTAATGGAGAATTTGCCTCATTATCACTGCAGCAAGCGCTTACATCTGCTGTGTTCCCTGAAGGAGAGCCTCTCTCCCCACCTACATCTGAATTCTCAGGCAATGTAGTGACCTGAACTGGCTCAACACTTCCATTGACAAACTGGCAAGAGACATCAGAGGCTTCCTTTAGTGTGCAACATGGTCCCAAAGGCCCCAGGACAGGTACAGAAGAAGCATCCATCAGTGTCACCTCCTTTTGCCCCTCAGTCAGTGGTTCTGTGTGTACTCCCAGCATCACTTCCTCTTTAGCAGCAGTAGCATCTAGAGTCACTTCTGGGCTCTGCTCCAATGTTTCAACACCAGCATTCTCACTAGCTCCATCCCTTTGTCCCTCCACGTTTCCAGGGGCACCAGGCACTCGTGCCTTGCAGCTGGCAGCATCTCCAGCACACACATCAGTGTAGCTGCACAGAGCGGATCGCTCACTGCGAGCCTCGCACTCTGCAGAGGAATCTTCTGCACGGCAAGCAGGAGGCTCAGCCACAGGGAAGTTATCACCCATGCTTCCAGGATCAGCTGCTATCAGCTGACCTTCTGGGGACAGTTCTCCATGTGCCATCATTTTGCTGCCTTCCAACGGAGTAACATTTTTGAGAACTTCTGGAGAAGTGCTCAGAGTGTCCATTTGACAGTGCTCTTTCTGCATAAGTGCTGAATGAATTAAGTTCTTGGAGTAGGTGCTGTCTTGTATGACAATAAACCTGTGCTTGCCTTTAGACTCATTCACTCGTGCCCTGGGCTGAGTGAAATAACTTAATGCCAGCGACTGTGTTACAGATCCTGTTTGTGGCCCAAACCTGGGCAGTGAAACTTCTGCCAGCTCAACGTACTCCCCTTCAAGGTCACTTTCCAAGTTCTCCTGAGTCACAGGACTCGTACAGACACCATTGACCAGAGCTTCATTTAACTGTGGAGCAGTGCTGCTAATCACAGGGTTGTCTCGATTTGAGCTTAGTTCCTGCAGATACTGAGACCTCAGGTCTGGTGAACCACACTCAGTATGGTCAGTGGGGAGGCACAAAATTGAACGTTCCTCTGTTATTTCTGGAGAGATGATATTGTTTTCAATTATTTTTGGTTTATTTATAAATTCAGGATTAACCACTTTATCCCAAGGGACACGAAATATTTTCTCATCAGTGGTCAGTAAACAATTTTCCAGTGCTATGCCCATCCGCTCTCCATTGAACGTACTCAACCATTCCAGAGTAAAAATAGAGGTATATGAAACTTCAGGAATCACCACTTCTTCTACATTATGCTTATCTTTTGCCAAACATTTCAATACAATTCGTGGAGGCTTCTTCACAGAGGGGACCACCTGCAGGTAGAAGTCACCAGGCTTGAGGATTTGCCAGTCAATGGAAGCGAGCTGGATTACAATCTTGTCCTGAATGCACAGGGGCCATCCCGCATGGCGAAACAGCAACCCGCAGTACGGAGCCTGTGGAGACAACAGAAAGTGTTCTCAGCACCAGCAAAAGATCTCAGCTCAAGCTTCTGAGTAAGAGAGATCAAGAAAACAATTAATTTAGGGTCTTTGGTTATTGATGTAGGTAAGTTTTCCACACTAAGGTCTTCTCTTGAAAAGAGAAATAAGAAAATCTACCAACACAAACCACCCGTGCAGGACAGGTGGGCACAAGTTACACTGGGAGGCTGCAATGTCCCAGTGGAGGGAAGAGGAGAGTGCAAAAACAAAACAGGAGATAGGAAGCAACAAATGAGGAAAGCTCAGCAGAGCCACAGAGAAAGAAAGCAGCAAGTGCCATCAGCAAACTGTGAGGAATCACACTTAACATACCAGCAATTTCCTCATTCCCAAAACACAGCAGCACTCAGGCCAGGCCTCAGACAAATGCAACCCAAGTAAAAGAACTGAAGTTTCATGGATGAACTGACCTGACTCAATTATTTACAGCTTTATCACAACTTCAAAAAATAATGCCCAGTCCTTTGAACTTGATTCTGTTTGGGTAAGATTTAAATTAAGCCATTATATAAGCCATCAATTCCACAATTAATTTCATCTTTTTCTGTACAAGGCTTTGGATTCAATTAATTCAAGTATTTTGCCATACAGCAGAGAAACCAGAGAGGAACTTCTTGGATCCTCACACACCTTGAAACAACAGGTACTGGCATAAAACAATTTTTTTTATGTTCATCAAGCCTTACCTTCAGCCCCACCAGATTTCTAACTCTCCTTGCACCTGAAGCAAAGTTGCTCACAGGTTTAGAAACCCAAATCATCCTTCAGATTCAGTAATTCCTCCTCCTCAATCCTGTATTTTCTGGATGTGTTTCCATTGCTTAGACTTATTAACCCACGTCACATGACCTTAGCATGTCTACCTTCATCAGTGTGCCTGAAGTACCTCCTTTGTAATGCCCATTTCTTTTTCATAAAAACCATTTTGTTCGTTGTGCAAAGCATTGTAAAACACGGCCTGTAATGGCACCAGCACTTCCCAAATGTGCTGGAAGCATCTCTTAAAGCTGAGATCCCACTCATCTTCCAGTCCCCCTCCTACAGTAACCCAGTCACCTCCTGGTTTTTCTTTTCAAACTGATGAACTCCAGTTCACAACAGAAGTTCTGCCTGCCACTTCATGGAGGCACATGCTTGCCCTCTGAGTTACCATTACAAAATTTAAGAACAAAATTTTAGAGCTCATCTTGTGTAATGCATTTATCACCCTCATCTTCCAGGTTATAGCTGGTGTGTCCCAGGCTGGTTTCACCACAAACATGCCATACATACTCTTACTTTTCATGCCAAGGTCATGGATCAGAAGCATGGTACGTTTCATGACTCCTGCCTCCAATGCCATTTCCCCCCAGTACAAACATCCTCCCTCCCTTTCACCAGTTTGTAGCCATCTTGCAATTCTTGCATAAACATCAACCCCTTTGACACAGTAATTAATCTTCCATATGACTCCATAATAAATCACTTATAGCAGAGATTAAACAATGAAACTTATCTCTCTAGAGAGAGCTGGTTTATTAAAAAGGCTGCTGTGACACTACCTGCCATGGAGCAAACCACATGGAAACGTTATTCAGTTTTTCATGGGTCAGTTAATTCAGTCCTTGCTCAGTGCACAATGTTGTAGGCTCAGCTTGTTCTCTGTATTTTGTTACTAGTCCTGACTTAACAGATTCTACAAAATCCCTGCTACCAGACATTCAGCATTACATGGTAACTTCTTCCATATTCCAGGATGGAGACCTGCCAGTCCTATTTCTTCAAAACAGTCAAGTTCAGTCACAGCAGTTTTACTTCTGTTCACTTACTGCTACTGCCCTACTCATGTACTTACACACTGTATCACCACAAAAAGGAACCTTACTTCAGTTTTCATTTACTTGAAGAATCATATTAATATTACCTTTCTATTCTAACTATGACTCAGAGCAGACACATCTCCCCTTCTTTCTTCTTTCTGTTAAGTTAGAACCAAAAAGCCCTATAACCTGACCCACAGCTGCTGTACTTTCCTCAAAGGCACAGCTAAGCTGGGCAGTCTGGTGTTCTCAGGCTTTCTGATCTGCAAGACACAGATGCCTCTGCCACTAAGTTCCTTTCATCCACAATGCAGTTACAGTCAGCAAGCCAAGAGCACCTCTGGCAGCAGTTTGCACAAGCTGCTCCAGCAGGTCTCAGGCTAAATGCACTTCATGCACTTTTATACCAAGCTCAAGACTCACAGAGCACCTCAGCCAACAAAGCTTGTGGCTCCAAGCAAAGTGCCCAAATCAAGTATTTTGTTTATAAGTTTTAAACTAGAGCAATTTGCAGTTTTCCAGAAGAGAGTGCCCCACTGCAGCACACCAACCCCTCTTCTGCCATTATAGGATCTCCTAGTCAGTGTATTAAGGCCAATGGTCTGTACCAAGGGTCTTTCAGGGAAAAGAGGCAGATGAAGATCAATAAGATCAATTCCCAAACTATTATAGCTCATAGGACTTGAAAAGTGAAAGACACAATCAGCAGCAGCATAAACATAAAGCTGAATTCCATCAGCACATACTTGACATGGAGATTCTGTTAAAATCTGGATGCAGAATAACCCACTGGAGGGCCACTCATACATTAAGAAATTCCAAACAGCCTCATTGTTTAGATGCTTACTTGTCTGCCTACTGACTCATAAGCAGAAAACTCAGCAATAAAAGCACCAAAACCAAAATGCAGAATGCATTGAAGTTCCTGAAAAGCCCTACAAAGCCACAATCTAAACTGCATCAGGTGCCAGAGTAACATCCAAAACAGGAATGCAAGTCCCACAATAGCCTAAACATTACAGAGCTTTAAAACTTTAGAAGTGGAGCATCCTCATGCTGCTCCTGCTCCAAAATGCACCTTCAAAGGGAAGATTATGTGAAGAGGCTTATTACAGTACCTTTAACATCTCATTTTGAGGCTCAAGGATTTGCTTTTCTCGTGTCCAAACACTACAGAGCCAAACCAGGCCCACCAGAGGAGTGCCAGGAACACCCTCTACACCCAGTGGCTGCAGCCAGGAATAGGCTGAGCCAGCTGCCTCTGAAGAAAGAGCCGGGCACCAATGACAAAAATGGCACAAAGGTGGAATTCCTGTTTAGCTATTCCAAAGCTACAGGGATGGTTAAGCTGGAACACACCATTTAGCTCAGGACATCACCTCAAAGCCAGGGGCAAAATTTGGTTATTAACTTTGTCCTAAGCAGAGACAGACCTCCTTGGAACACCCCTTCCAGTCCCTGAGGAACCACACACTGGCTGATGATTTTAATGCCCATGAACTAGTCTAGTACTTCATGAAGCCATTTACACTTTTGTCACTGCCGAGGCTGACAAAACATCCAGTGCTCTCAAGACTTTCTACAGTAGTCATCCAGACATGAGTTAATTCTTTTCCCTCCAGTGTGTTTAGGAAACACTCACACAGAGTAGCTGAACTACAAACTAAGGAGGAACTATTGCTTCTGTTTAGACTCTCTAAAAGGCAGGCAAGATTTTCAAAAAGCAATTAGTAAGAAACAGTCCCCTGTGATTTCAGACTGTAAAGATGAAGGGGCATACAGGGAAGGTTTGGGGAAGAAGAGACCACAGCAAATTAAATAAATTTCATAAATAAGAAATAATTAATTTAAAAGATCAACCAAGCAGACTTTTAAATAAAATATGGAATAGCCTGGGCCCAACTCTAAAGAGGGTGCAAGGTACCGAGAGCTTCCCTTGATCTCCCTGTACTATCACTCCAGAAGCAAAAATCACGAGACACATCCTGAAAAGTTCACAACCAAGTAAGAAAGGATCTTGCTGACCACTCTCCCAGCCATTTCACACCTCAACAAAAGCCTCCACTACCTAATGCTAAGCCTGGTGCAACCCTCCCTAAAGGCAGCTGCCCAACCCACCCCACATCTTGTTGGTCAGTTGGGTGGGATACCAGCATCCTGGGCTTCTCCAGTGCCCACTGGCCTCACACTTCCATCATCAGGACCCCGAGCTCCACCTGCCCTCACCTCTCCCTCCTCAGGACACCCAGTGCCCACCACCCTCATCTCTCCCTCCTTAGGACACCCAGTGCCCACCGCCTTCACACCTCTCCCTCCTTGGGACGCCCAGCACCCATTTCCCCCACACCTCTCCCTCCTCACGGCCGAGCACCCATTGCCCTCACACCTCTCCCTCCTCACGGCCGAGCACTGCAGCGCCTCGTGTTCCAACGGCCCTCCAACAGCCACCGAAGCCACCATGCCCGTCAAGGCGACCCCGCGCTGCTATTGGCTACTGCCGCACCCGCTGTTCTCCCATTGGCTGCCGGGGGGCCGAGGCCCGCCCAGCCGCCCTGCCCGCGTCCACCCGTGGCGCCCCGAGGGCCGCGGGGGTTGCGCGGCCTTTACCGTGCGTGCCTCGGCCCCTGCCCCAACGGCTCCCCTCAGGGACGGCAGCACCGTGCGCCCACCTCGCTGCTGCTTTCCTTCCTTCTCCTTCACTGCCTCACCCGCCCAAGGCACCGCTGGCCGCTCGGAAGCTGCCGGGATCTCGAGAAGTGGGGAAATTGCTACCTTGGCTCATTCAGCGAGGGCGGTGTTTTGGGGAAAGCCGTGAAACATCTTGAAATAATTACCAGTTTGTATAAACGAAAAGCTTTTTGTTTTTTTAAAGGGGACAAACACACCATGCACCATAGAATTAGAAGCTCCAATTACGGATACTGATGGAATAACATCTATTCCAGTGTTCAGGGTGGGAGAGAGCAGCAAGGTCATGCACCACCTTGGATCCTCCTCGACTCACAGAGATGGCAGGCACCAAGCTGGAGGTTGGTGACAATATGAGGTGACAAACACTGCACCAAAACACACTTTCAGGTTGCCTAGTTCACATGGATCCATCCTGTGTGATGGGTCTGTCCCCCCAGTATTTCATTTCCTTGAAACAAATGAGTGACTATTTCAGCCTCTATTCCATACTTTTCCTCCTCCTAGAAATCCCTTGCCCTCTACCATGAGGACTTGAATTGAAAACCTGGCCACACACCCCCTTTGCATTCAGAGACAAAAAAGTTAGAACAAACCCACATTTTAGGTTGTTTGGGCTGGTTGGGTTTTTTTTCATCTTGCAGACCTCGAGCCAAGTTTTGTGATGGAGGTGTTTGACTCATCGTTTCTAACATTTTAGACTCCCAACAGTAAAGCACGTTAATCTTGGACTCGTTCTGGCAGTAAATGTAACGTGACTCCTCGGGGCTACTGAGCCTTGTGACTGTTCCAGCAACCATCAAAGGGGAGCTGGAGTTTTGGAAAAACACCGACTGGAAGCATTTTGCCCTGCACGTCATTGTGCCAGTGGCAAGAGCCCGACAGCTTCATCCACAGGGCCAGGGAACAGCTGGGGTCAGAGGCCACCCTGGTCAGACACATCTAGCAAACACTTTGCTAAACCTCTTCCTGTGAATCCCTTAAGCCGTTGGTGTTCCTGATTACAGAAAGGGAGAGCACTGCTCCACACCTGATGGCTGATCTCTGAAGGGTTAAGCTTCAACAACAATTTCTCAACTATTTCCTAATTGTCTGCCTGCCCTCCCACCTAGGCTGCCATACATACTCAAGCGCTTTTTGCCAGCCGTTTTGCATACAAGAGCAGAAAGAAAACTCTCCAAGAAAGCCTTCACAGGCCTTAGAGAGCATGATGTACTCACACAGGCATCCTGCTGAATGCACTGCAGGATGTGCTTGGCTGGAATCAGGAAGTCTATGAGGTAGTGCAGTCCATCCCCACGGTACGTCTTCTCCACCACATCAAAAACTTGGCACAGCACAGTGGCTGCGGTAGCCTCGAATGGAGGGTAGAGTGCTGATAACGTGCTCTGAATGCAGCCGTCCAGTGACTCCGAGTCCTGCCGAGACAGAAAGCGTTAGTGGCACCGGGACACGATCCGCCCAACGCCCAGGAGCGTGGCCATCGCCGAACGCAGGACGAACGAAGATCACAGAAGCCAATGCTATCCTTTCTGGCTTCTTTTGGCACTGGAGATGGCAGGTAAACACAGAGAAGCTCTCCCAAAGCAGGAGTGGAGCGCTCGCAGAGCGCTGCACACAGGATTGCCAGCTTTTGCTTACGCAGCAAGACCTTGTGCTGCCTGCGCGGGGTGGGGCGGCTGTTAGACCACACCGCAGCACGTGAGCGCGTGCGAGAGACACAGCCATGGGTGGGCATCACCAGCCCTGTCCATGGCTTGGGCACACTCCTTGGTGGGCCAAGGGCACCTGCCGTGGGCTGAAGCTCCTCAGCCTCCTGCGCTCTGGAGTCCCAGGCCAGGATAAGGTGCCAGAGCTGTTTGGTTCTGTGGAAAGCCATTAAGCCATTCTCCAGAGCGACTCCTCGTTATTCAAAGCTGTTTGCCTCTCAGGAAAGGCTCTAATGCAGGAGCCAGGAGTTTTCTGCAGTGCAAGATGCCTCACACAAGGATTCACACAATGTGTGTGAGCAGGGCTGCCTGTGGTCCCTGAGCACACCCATTGATACCTAGGATGCCTGTTCAGGGGGATCAGAGGCAATGGCTTGCCTGCATCCACCTTCATTTGGGAGAACCTGCCAGCCAGAGCCTGCCCATAGTGTCAGGACCAATTCCAGTGCTGGAGGCCAAATTCTGAGTTATTGCATGGGTGTAAATCAAGAGAGCTTGCCAAAAAGTAACAATTTAAAAAAATATAAAGCTGTACATATCTGTAGAGAGCATCAGGATTGCTCCTTTCTTTTCTATTTTAGAGGGGATCCCTTGGGCTAGCTTACAGCCAGTGGGAATAAGTTTTGCTCCAAAACCAAATGAAAGTTTACTCAGGTGTCTGGCCAGATCCTCATCTGATCCAAATCCACCTCCTTTCACTAGAGACAAGAAAAGCACTTCAGCTGCTTACGCAGAAGCTCTACAGCCTCCTGCAGAACAGGAACAACTACATGAACATGCCTGAAAATACACTTCAAGACTGGGAGAGAAAGTTAAACAAAGCAGTGCCACAACAGCTTACGCCACAACCGGGGAACAGTAGAACAAGGGGAGCAGGAGGAAACAAATGGTTTCACTGCTTCCATCCATTGCAGCACATCTGTGAAGATGCCTCCACCAGCCTGGGAAAGTTCAAGAGTCTCAGAGCAAGCCTGAACTGACCTGCAGCCCAGCAGAGATGGTGCTCCTCACACAAGCATTCCCATCTCTTGCAGCTTACTTATCTTCAGGTTCCTCCTTTAGAGGGTTGGGTGTTTAAGCACAACATAAACCTCCTGCTCCGATGCAAAGCCATCTCGTGGGACAGACAGCCTGTGGGACTGCACAGGAGAGGTGAGGACACCCAGGTGATGCCTCCACAATCCCTGCCTGCAACGAGCTGGCAGAACTACAGTGACAGGCAAACCACACGCTGCCTGTGGGACAGTGCTGCTTCCTTACCTTTCTGCTCTTTCTCCTGATGTCAGCAAAAGCAAGGCTACATGGATGGCAGCAGGCTCCTACAGTGCCCACACCTTTTCTGAGAGACCAACTGCCTCCTGCAATACTCCAGGCCAATGCAACTGAATCAACAGAGGTTAAGGAGCTGTTTTTCATACACATAGAATCATAGATTATCCTGAGTTGGAATACTTAATCCAGTATTCTTAAACCAAGAATTCCAAAAGCAAGAGCCCTATGTGCACACTCAAGAGCTGAGTTCTAGGGGATGAGCATTTAACCCTAATTCTAAATTGGACGAGAAAGCTGTTTTAAACAATTTACCTTCCACTCAGAATAACAGTAACCTCTGTTGATACCAATCTGTCCTAGCAAGTGCCTGTGACCTTGCCAGATAAAACTGGCCTTCACACAGATGCTCTCCCACCCCACCAGTCGCCTTCTTGGGCACTATCACAGCATTGCTGCTGGCAGCATTTGACAACAATCTCCCTCTGACCCTCCACAGCCCACAAGTTCAAAACATCAATCAAAACCAGCTGGGGTTTGTTCTGCACCATCTTCTGCTTGAGCAAAATTCTTTCAGATATCAATCCCTCCCCAAAATAAATTTGTTAAGTTCACTGTTGCAAATAAAACAAAGAAGTCAAAATATTTGCACATGAGTCAGTGCATCGCTCTGAGGTTCTCACACCATTCCTCCTGCCTTAGACTTCACAAAACAATTATTAACATTGGCACCAAATCAAAAATCCTTTATATGGTTAAAATAAACCAGCTTGTACCTTATCCTTTCTTTAGTAAAATAAAAAATAAGCATAGCCTGTAGCCATTGCAGAGTGCAGTGCTAACTGCACTCCTGAGCACAGAGGCTTTCTCTCCCTCTGGCTAGATTATACCACAAAGCCATGATAGTTGTGTAGATTTCTAATGGATAGAGAGAAGGTTTCAACCACTATCTTTTGGTAGAAGGAGATGTTTGCACCAATCTCTGCTAATTCTGCAGGAAAAGCCCCAAATAAGAAGTAGATTCCCACATCCCACTGAATATCTCCAGAGAAGGAGACTCCACAATCTCTGGGCAACTTGTTCCAGAGGTTCCATCCCTTATCTCAAACAGGCAGTGTAACCCCCAGCAGGCACAAGGAGAAACTTTTGTGACCCGGGATGAGTGAACAGCACCTGGATAGAAGGAGAACAAGCTAAACCTAAAAGAATCCATGGAGGGTGCATTCCTGCCCCAGCACATTTCCACTACAACCAGCCCACCGTGGTCCCCAAGAGCTGGCAGAGCCTGCTGAAAAAAACCAGCCTCCTTCAGGGACTGAACATTTCAATCTTTCCTGCTTCCAACGCTGTTGCCACATCCCTCTCACAGGAAAGGTCCTGGACATGTGCTCCTTTTCTGCCACTGGGCACAAACACCAACAGGAGCACTTTCCAAGCAAGCCAGAGAGCATCTCTGCAAGCAAAAGGAGCCTTGGGATTCAAATGGTTCTTTGTCAATAGTACAGGAGGACCTATAAACTCCAGCTCACTGCCACCACTCCACCACACCTCCCAGAAGAGAAACATGCTTTTAAAATAACTCCTCTATAAATCAAGGCGCTAAATAAAGCCCAGGTTAAGGTCATGTCCGGCCAAACTGGCTTTCACTGCTGCTCAGCTGAGAGCCAGCTGCAGGGGCTGGAGCACAGGGACAGAGGAGGAAAGCACCACACAGGGATGGGATGGGATGGGATGGGCTGAGCCATGTGACAGGAACAACCCAGCATGGTCCCAGCCAGGAGGCCAGGGGAGCAGTGAGAACCCAGGAGGAGTTCACAACTGGCAGGGGGCTTTGGTCTGAGCCGTGGTGGGGTGGGCTGCCCTCTTTCCTCTGCATATCACAGGAGCCAGGGATGCTGTGACAAATAGGACAGTAAAGGCTGTTGTGGCAAAGCTCTGCTGCTCAGCCCTTAGAGCCCCACTCCATCACAAACTGCAGCAAGAACCAGGAGTCAATCAGAAATGAAGCTACGAGTGCCTGGGCAGAACAGGAGCCCAGCAGCTGTTGCAAACCTGATTAGGGAATGTGTCTACTCCTGGTGCAGCAGACACTGCAGGTTGGAAGAGAAGCCTGTCATGAGGCATCTGGAGTAACCAGGAGCTTCTTAGGCTTTTCTAGGTGCACTGATTGAATTTTCCACCTACGTTTGTGGGCATAAGAAGACCAATATAGCAACTCCAGCCACTGGGAACTCCTGTCATTCTGCATTTCTTTCTTACTCAGGACTGAACTTCTTCCTCTTCGGGACCTACTGCTCACCAATTAAGTCTGAACCCTGGAGAACCTCCTCCAGGTTTGGAGAACAAAACATCAGCCTGCCTGGGGAACAGAGAGGTCATCCCCCAGGCTACACACACACTTCACACAGCATCAGAATATCTGCGCTCTTCAAGCAAGAGACAGCAACCCAAGTGGCTCAGGACAATGTAAATTAGTGCAGGGGAGGCCTGCAGTTCTTCTGGACCCACCTGGGACAGCAAAGCCTTGGCAGCATTTCCCCTACAACTCACCCAAGCACTTTGCTCATTTTGCCTGCAAAGTACTGAGTCTTGGTCAAGGCAAATATGAAGAGGCATAAATCTTCCCTGATGACAGCTGTCTGCAGACTACTAAAAAAGATTGTTTTGGTGAGACCAGACTGACATGGGTTTGACTAACCCATGACTTATGGCAGACAGCGCTCCTTTCCAGCAAGCCAGACTGGCCCATGTAACATGCTGAAGATTCATCCCGTAACAGGAATTTAGTTAAAGAAGCTACAGCTCTGCTTTCCCAAACCTACACTCCCATTTGAGCTGCCAGAGAATGAAACATGTGCCAAAGTACCCCAGTTAAACCCAGAGCTTGCCATGGCTTGGCAGAGCAAGGAGCAGGCTGGGCAGTGGAGCAGAGCCTGGCAGGCTGCGAGCGCAGCGAGCGGTGCCCGTGGTACACCCAGCTCTGAGTCACAGAGCCTCTGGGCTCCTGCTCAGCAGGGAGACCTTGCCAGAGCTCCCGCAACTTTGTCCTTCTTCTGCCAGCTGCCCGGAGCATGGCCACGTCCTGCACGCACCCACTGTGTCCCCTCCTGCCCAGGTGCCAAGACACAGTGCAAGGGCAGGGCAGGAGAGACCAGAGTGTGCAAAGGTGAGGGGAAGAAATGACCCAACCCTCCCACACCCCAGACTGGAAAGTAGAAATAATAGCAAAACTGGGGAGAGGCAGAGCTCCAAGCAGCGCAGCACAGCACAGCGCCTGCCCATGGCTCCCAGCCAGCTTGGGGACTGGGGGAAAAGGAGCTCACAGCAGGGGCTGAGCAGGGCTGGGTTAGCTGGTCCCTCCGCCAGCAAAGGCTGCTGTGCTGCACCACTTGGCTGGGGCTGCTCAGATCTCAGCTGACGTGAGAAACCTCATTTCCAGT